GGCAATTTATGCTCAATAGAATCTGGCCAGCTATCAGCACCTATTAAAAACAGTATTTAAGTGCCTAGAAACTTTAATGTTAAAAGAACCTCATTGTGAATAGATCCAAATGTGAATTAGATAGAAAGATTAAGGTATATAAAAGAGACTTTGGGTTCAAGTGAGTGTCAGCAGAAGAAAAATCAAAGAAACAAAAAGCATCAAAATATGTAAATAGTTTCAAGGGGAAAAATAATTTCAATGCTGAAACGCTAACCTTGGAAATATTTATAAGTCATCAATAGTGCTCTTAAAGATGCAAGACGCACATTCAGTCAAACATCGTAATTCACTCTGAAGTAAACAAAGAGGACTAATTTGACTAAATCTGGACAGCCTCTTGGCAGATGCAAGCATGCACTGTATATCATTGCTGACCGCACAAGGAAAATAAAGGTGATCATGCATTGCCCAAATGTTAAAAACACATGTATTCATCTAGTAATTTTGGCGACTGAGTGTCCAGTGTTGCAGTGAGATCTGCACAGGTTGTTTCCTTTAGCTAGGCTCTGGAGCATGCCAGGGCCCATCCCATGTAGAAGGGCCTAACAGAATAGTCCACAGATTATACAGTGAGTGGTTACTGGCAGACACCTAAGATGCGTTATGAGAGACAAGACTAGTGCCTTCAGGAGGCACATGATAGCATATTACAGCATACTTCAACACGGGTTAATATTTTTAGATTTTAGTATTTTAATTAATTTTTAAACAATTTTATGTGGCTTTATGCAGCCTAATCCTTGAACCTATTAAAAAATTCTTCCTAACTAAAGACAATAAAATAATAGGACTGAAACAATAGTAGGTACCTTTTTTCCTATTACTTTGAACATATTTATTGATTTTCAGTGAGAGCATCTATACGAGATACTAAATGCTCAGTAGACTAATTCTACTGCACATTAGCATGTTATGGCAAAAACCATGGTAATGCGCAAATGTGCAGTAGAATTGGTCTATTGTGCATTAATGTCATGAAAAGACCATGCACTGGTGCTGCTGCACAGTAGTACCGGTTACTGAGCACTGACTTAGTACTTGTTATTACAAGTACTAAACTTAATGCGTAGTAACAATAGTGCATTAATGCACATGTAGACACACATAGTTTTAACCTTTTCTGTTTTGTTATATGGTTTTCTTCCTGCTTCTGCCATCTGCTCTTTCAACAGCAGTTTGTGAGCTAACCGCTTCTTTCCTTTCTGTGAAGGCAAAACATGAAAAAATGAATATGCTCTGAGGCCTTGTTCCTGCTACACATTTCGGTGTGGATTGACCCTGTTGCTTGCCCAGAGCCCTGCTGATGTCAAGAGGACTTTGGGAAAGTGTGAAGCCTTGTTCATGCAAGTCAGACAGCAGGATTGGGTCTTTATTTTGTACACTAAAAAGCAAGTTCAAAGTTTCTTTTGAGCACAAAGAAATACTGAAAGAAGCTTAAAACATTTTTCCCATCTTTCAGGCAATCCCTCTCTCCACCACTACAAATTCTACCCCTGACTTTATCTGGCAGTTTCCTTCAGCTCTTGGCATGTAAGTTTTTATTGCTTTAGACTCCTTTGCACTCACTCACATGCTGGTAGCTCTATGTGAAGCAAAAGGAATCTACGTGAAGTCCCTGCAGATGTTAAAGCAATGGTTGCACTAATTCCCGTGGCTCCCTGAGCTGACACAACACTGCTTACCCCACCACTGCTTGTTCTACCACCAGAAGTGGGTCTGGATCCAACCCTCAAGACTCCTTTTGTTCTAGATCTGGCCAAGGGGACTGAGCAAATGTGACACTCCTGGTATAAAGGGTAAGAAAGCAGGGGGAAATGGTCCTCAGTAAAACATTGTACATTGTCTCCCTCTTTCTTTTATTTTTAATCTGCACATGCATGATAGTAGGGTTTTTTGACTTTGTATATGTGATTAATTTTGATTTTAAATGATACTTTTATGTGGAGGGTGTGTGTGTGTGTGCGCGCGCACATATTGATCTATTTAAAGTGAACCCAAGACATTTGTGCCTGAAATTAATTCCTTCACATCTGATGTATATTCTGAGGCCTATAATATATGAAATAAATTGATGGTCTCACTGTAGTTCCAACAGAACAGTGTTCACATCACAAACACCATTGCAGTTGGCACTGATCAGCAAATATCTAGTCAATGGGAACAGTAGCACATTCATGTGTGGTAGATATTATCTTGGCATATAAATAATGAAAGTCTCTAAAATGCTCCCAAATGTTGGAATCTAGATTCCTTCTGGGCATGTGAAGAATTTGCTTAGAGGAAAATATAGCAGTTATACAGAAATAGAGAGCCACTTTAGCTTTGTGAAGGTCTGTTCTGCTTATAAAAAAGAATGAATAAAAAAGAAAACAATGAATGTATTGGTTAGTGACTTACATGAGGCTACCAAGGGTAGTGTCAGCTGCTCAAGGTATTACTGTAAAACAGAATATTGGTTTTATATAAACTATTCCTATGGTGTGTATGTGTGTGTGTGTCTGTGGGGCTGGGGGATAATACAAAGGGGGCCCTAATTTCTTACAGTTGTCTAATTTCCAGTTTACAATCAGTTTTTCAACGCATCTTGGAATCTACAGTCTTTCCTGAGAAAAATGAACTATTTGATCTCTTACAATGACAACTTATTCCATAAGATAAGATAAAAAAGAACAATTAACAAGTGCCTACTGTGAACTATTTCCCACGAGAAGCTGCTGTTCATAGCCTATGCAATTAAAAATTTCTAACCCTAGTGGTTAATGTTTGAACTCTTACAAGAAAAGTAAATAAACAGACAAAATATACAATACCATACAAAGCTATGGAGACCTTTTCAGTCTTTTAGCAATTAGGGTTATTTATCTGTACAGAAGTTTAAAATACACTTACACAGTTCAGTATTGTCCACAGCCTTTAATCTTGTCTAAAATAAAGAGCTATAAAATGGTAAAGGCAAAGGCTTGATTTCATGGCAATAGGTTTAGAACAAGTTTGACTTTTCATTATGTCAAACTTAGCAACATATTTCACTTAGTGATGTATTTAAAACAAGTGAGTTAAATGCCTTACACCATTTAGGATCAAATTCTATTAAGTTTAGGATAAAGTTATATATACACTTAGATGAGAATGAGGGCACTTAAAACATGATCATCTATACAATAAGGTTGTTAACTCATGCTAATTGCCCTCTGTCTGAAAGTGATGCCACCTCAGAAGAGAGTTACCTTGGGAGTATGTAACCTAGCCTGTGTAACTTCAGTCTGCTCCATGGAGATAAAACAAGCAGTTTGTAGTCCTCTAGCATCCCAGGATGCACCACTACCATCCCCATACAACCTAGATGTTTTTGTTCCTAGCCACACCCCTGCTCACCAAACCTCTAATGGCAAGTCAGTGCTCTGCAGGCAAGAAGCAGTATTAACCCTGAATGTGCAGCTACCCACAGCATGTTATAATTTTAATACCACTTAATATACTACAGTTTTAATAGGGCCTAAGAGTAAGGTGTAACTTCACCCTTATTCACTTATCTTGCTGAAACTGATGGAATTCCTATTGGATTGATCCAGCATCCTTTATTCATGTGAGTCTTCTTGACACCAGACTGTAATCCTACCAAAATCCACAAATCTAGTCACGGAAATAAAAACTACCAGTGATGCAATTTGAGCAAGGGTTGCAGAATCAGATCCAATGGCTTTTAAGGGAATAGGGTTATACTCACATAAATAAAGTCCCTCACCACCCCACCCCTAGACTATACCGTTTGCAAACAGGGACTATGACCCTGATCTTGCAAAGATTTAGACACACACTCAAATTTACACATTGTGAGAAATCTGTATGACCTCTACAAGGTTACTTGCAGTACATAAAGTTTACTGTGTGCTGATGTCTTTTCAGGATCAGGGCTTAATTTTGAACCAATTTTTATATTGTCAGGATTTATGGTCAATTTATGATATCTTTTCTGTAACTATAAAGTCTCCAGTTACAAAGGAATGATTTTAAAAAGTCTTTTTCTCCAAGCAACAACAGAAATTAGATACTTTTCTTAATCAGAAATGACTCCTAAGCACATCTCTGAAAATTGAACTCATTACGGTTATAGCAAAGGACTTGGTGCTATGCCAGCCTCTAACATCACCTTACTAAATGGCTTTGGGCAAATTAATTAACCTCCCTGTTCCTTTTTGCTCATTTGTAAAATAGGTATGTTACTTTGTCCCTGTTCCTTTTTGCTCATTTGTAAAATATGTATCTTACTTGGGGGGGGAAGGGGGGGGCACTTGGAAAGTACTGTGAGGTCCTTTGCAGAAATGTGTTCTACCAGAAAAGCATTGATGAGTTCAAAATGTAAGGTCCAGAGTCTGCCCCAGGAATACATTGGTTCACTCTTTATATGCCCACTAATGCCATATGTGCTACATCAAGAGTTACTTATTATTCAGGAGTCTTGCTTGTGCAAAGTGCAGTCATATGAATTAAGATATAACATTTACACTGGTATATCCTATTTTGTGCCATTTTCACACACCAACGTAACTAACTCTGTATTTGGAGGACTTAATTCCGACTCCAAAGAGGAAGAATGTAATTTAGGAGACCTTAATTCAGTTTTCTGTTCTCCCACAAACTTCCTGTGTGGCCTTGGGCTAGTCTCTTGGTCCCTTTGTATCCCAAGTCCCCATCTGTAAAACAGGTCCCTGCCTCATGTGGGTGTTGTGAGGATAAATGTATCAGAGGTTGTGAAGTACTCAGGTATTGCAGTCATGGAAACTGTCAGTACCTAAGAAAGATATGTAGTCAATAAACACATCAGCCTTAAAGCATATTCATGCAAGGGGACTCTAATTTTTTCTTAAATAAATGTTTAGTTCAGTGAATAGAAAATATATATTTATCAAATCTATCCTCTCCACTTTCTGACTAGGACTTTGAAACAACCAAAGAGACTTCTCCCATCTGTTGTACACTGAGTCTAATGCATGCTGGACAAGACTTTGAGGGACTGCTGTGTACACATTCCACAAGCAGAAGGAGTAACGTTCAGTTTTGGTACTACATGTTCAAGTCTCAGTGCCTGAGGTAAGAAACTTCCCAGTAAACTGATGTAGCTCAGGTCAATTTTCTCCTACACTTTGCACAATAGAAATGTCTTTCCCTTTCATCAGTTTTCTCACTTCAGTGGGCTGTTAGGGCGGCGTGAAAATATTTCAACAGAACCTGAAACTATGTAGAAGTCTCATGATTTCTGATTTTGTTACTGTCTTGAGGCTCAGATATTTGTCCAAAGATAATTAAGGTCCTGTTACACACTAGAAATTTTTGCCAAAAATAATACTGTCAGTTAAGGGTGTGTTTCTTAGTAACATTTTTACACTGGCAAAAAGTCCTTTTGTGCATACCACTATATAAAAAAAAGATCCCTTTTGTAATGACTTATTTCATTTAAGGAACATTAGCAGAGTGCCTTTGATTAATATAATCTGCACCTTGACTAGAAGGATTCCCCAGTATAGTTACTCGCAGTCCCTTTCTGGCAGCCAAAGATTTATAAACACTTTAAAGAATTGTGGCCTTTTTAGGTGTCTGCACTGAAATTACATCATGTTCATAGTTTCTTGTGGCATGAATATGACTAGCTTTGAAGGAGTCTTTCCTGAAAAGTCAAGTTCATTAGAACCCCAAACTCTAAATGAAACTCAGGGGTATGTGACTCATGCAGATTGTAAATGGAAGGTACTCATACAGCCAATGCAAAGGGAAGCAACCTCGTTTTGTGCAGCTCTGTTTATGTTATATATATGGATGCTTGAATGTGATGCAAGGAAAAATGTAGTATTTTCTCAGGTATTCCTTTAAGCAGGTGGTACTGTGCTTTGAGGAAAGCAGAGTATTTAATTTAAGATATCTACTACAGCAACAATTCTAAATGACAGCATTTATATTAAAAAAGCTATTCTACCCAGCGGCTTTCTTACAATAGAAGCAGCACTGTTATAAAAATAGGAAAACAGAAGTGATATTATTATAGAACTGCTTCAGTAACAAAAGTTCTACTGTATGATAGTCTATGATTTAGAAAATTCTTGCTGTCTTTTTCTCTGATGATGAATATTCTCTTGATTTTCCTACCATTGGTCCTATTTTTTTTGTAAAGGACGTTGAGATCATTGCAAATAAGCTGCTGTGTATAGTAAGTGCAACATGTTATAACTTCACTAAAACTACGCACATATGTAAGTGGTATTTAGCAGGAGCAAAAGTGGCAAAATCTAATTTTTGAGCAGCGTTCAGAAAATCAGAATTAAAAAACCAGCTGGTAGCTGCTAAATGGTGGTTTTGCCAGAGAGCCTTGCATACATTGAGCTATCACTCAAGGAGCAGCTTAGAGAAGCAGTCATTCTGCTTTTGCTCTAACACAGAATGTAACTTGCTGATAGGTGCATAAGAAGGAGAATAACTTTGCAGCTGATCCCTTCTGGTGACACATTATTGTCCCCTCCACAACCTATGGAGTTATGGGTAGGGATCTACCTAAACTGCACTGAGGTGAAGGAAAAATCATGGGCTGCTTGCAGTGCGCATCACCATTTTCAGTCTTTTCACAATGCCCCTCCCCTGCCCTGATTAGCCAGGGCGCCCCAGCAGCCCTGCCCTTCCCTGTTGATTGGCCAAGAGGGCTGCTCATTTTGCAGCCCTGCCCCTTGCCACTGGTTGGTGGAGAGAGGCAGGACCACACCACGGGCAGCCCTGTTGGCCAATCAGCAAAAAAACAGCAGGACAGCTGCTATTTTTGCTGCTTCCCTTCATGCTGTTGGCTTCCCTCCCCACCCACCCACTCCAGCAGGTCGCAAGGCTGGGCTGCGGTGGCCCAGAGGACTGCTGGTTCTGACTTGGGAGCAAGCATTTTATTTTGAATAAGCTTTTCTTTTTCTCCTAGTGATTCTGTGCCAAAATTACAGGATTGCCATTTTTGCAGGGTTCATGGAAACTGCTTTTGTCACTGTTTCTGCAAAAAATGAAAAATCACAAATAGAGTAGTTATGGGCTCTGTGGCTCTGCTGGTCTGAATGCACCTGATTTTATCTGAGCTTAGAAGCTAAGTAGTCCTGTACCTGTCTAGCACTTGGATAGAAGACCCTCATGGAACCCCAGCTTTCATAAATGCAAGCTATGGAGTTGTGGTCGAACACTTTGTAAATACCACTCCATAGAAAATGGAATGAGTGGTCTATACCAGCTTTCTGCATTTTCTGGTAGGGTTCTGAGTGGTTAAATCTAAAGTAATGATAAGAGTATAAACATACATTGTGGTGAGCTGGTTGAGGAAGCAGATAAGGGCATTCTATGCCAAAGTTCATTCATCATTTCTCCTTGTATAGCCGCTAAGTGGTTTTTTAATTGCACTAATGTTTTTGCCTTGGTGACTGACTTACAGATCATCTCTCTCTCCAATTACTGCTTATGTAAGAAAGTGCATCTTGACACTGTCCTCGATTTCTTTTTGCTTTCTTTCCATTTATTCTTCTCTGTGATGGGAAAAAATACTAACTCAGGCTGAAAGTAGCTGTTGTTCGTTTTATATCCTTTCAATTAATATCCTTTAAAATATTTCTACCCCTTTCTTCTTTTTAACCAGATGTCACAAATTTCTTATCTTAATTTTGAAATTAACTTTTTCAATTCTTCCCTGAGTCTTTTGGGCACTATAATAATTTTCTTATAACTTGATGACCAGAAATGAATGATCTATCTATCTATCTATCTATCTATCTCTACTGACTACAGGCTATTCAGAAAGCAATGTTGTTTTTGCATTAAGTACTACTCTACATTGGCCCCAATTCTGAGATGCATTGGTATTACTGATGGCTATATCTGGCTATGCATTTCCTAGTTAGCTAAGTAACTAGCAAAGATTTTAAGGTGGGTATAACAGAGGGCTAAGGGCCCCTGTTACTTTAAGGGGGGAGAGCAACTGGCTGCTGCAGCAGAGGAGGGCAGGCTGGCCATCAAGCCCATCTGGAAACCCCTGTGTGTGACTGGGGAACCATGAGACAGGAAGGGATGGGGCTGTTGCCATATAAGCCCAGTGCCTAAGCCCAATGGGGCACCGGCCCTGCATACTGCAGAGAGAAGCTCGAGAGAGAAGGGCTGCTGGAGACAGATAGGTGGGCACCCAAGGGAGATAGGATGAGAGGGCTCCAAAGGAGGCATGGACTGGAGGCACCATTAACCCAGAGTGGGGAAGACTTTTAGTTTGTGAAGCAGCTTGCTGGCATTTATGTTACATTTTTAGCTTGATACTGGAGGACTGGATTGTGGCTATGCGGGATGGGGGAGGTGTGGAGACTATGGAGGGATGCCTGGTGGGGCACTCTGTGACAGGCAGCCTAGCCTGGGGTCAGGGACCCAGAGGTCAGAGACTGATATCATGAGCGTACCCTGGCCAGGGCTTAGGGTTCCAGGGGGCTGAGGCTGACTCAGCAAGGGCAGCCCAGCCTGGGATTGGGAACCCTGAGGGTTGAGGCTGATGCAGCAAGAACAACCTGGCCAGGGGTTGGGGACCCTGAGGACTGAGGCTGATGCAGCAAGAGCAGGCTGGCCAGGGGCTGGGGACCCTCAGTGCTGAGGGCCAGAGGCCCAGATCATGCAATAGGGCCAGGGCTGGGGCCCAGGAGCCAAGGTCTGGGGCAGTGGACCTAGGCCTGAGGGGAGCAACCAGCATAAAAAGGCCAAGGCCATGAAGGCTGACACCTGGACAAAGGTTTGGGGCCTGAGGGCCAAAGCTCTGTTGGGGCTAGAGGGCTCCTTCCAAATAGACATGAACTAACATCTGCGAGACATGGGCATGGCTACAGGCAAGGACAGAGGCCACAAATATAGCCCATAAAACAACTGGTGCCCTTAGATCTTTATAGGGCCAAAAGGGCCATAACTTAGTTCCTGATGGGCAAGACTGGGGGCAGCCAGATACAAGAGGTACCAGCTGGCTAAAGTGAATAAGAGCTTACTCTGGAAACCTGGGACAGCTTCCCTTAACACCAGTATAGTTACATCAAGGCATGGCAGGCAGGGAAAAGGGGGAGTACCCTGAGGGGCGGAGGTGGGTGCAGGAATTGCATGGCCACCAGAGGTCATCACAGCTGTTCCCTGGGGTGTGGTCCTTATACAGTGGACTCATGTGCCTATATTGAGGGACTTGTTTTTATGCTCAAGGGAAATTTCACTGGGAAAACAACTGTGCTGAATTCAGCAGATTTAGCATATTGGGAACTTCACCCCCTCCCAGTTACAGTTTGCTAAGCAAGATATTTGTCCACTTGAGACTGTAACACATTTACTTATTCCTCTCATACAAGCCAAGTCCCCAAATATATTAGTGGGAACCCCAGAATGCAGGACTGCTGCATTCTGTGATGGATTCATTTATTGGCTTTATTATTTTATGAAGGAAAATCCTGAGCTCTTGCCCAGTAAAACATTCATTGAGGTCAGTGAGCATTTGCCTAAGTAAGGACTGAGTAAAAACTGAGGCCAGGATCTCTCCTTACACATCATTCCCTCCCTGCTCCCTCCCTCCCCACCCCGTCTCGCAATCTGTACAAAAGCGAAGAGAGTGCAATCTGTACAGCTCATTCCTTTCCCTGGAAACTCATGAACAGTCCTCTGGCAGGTTCCTTTATGGGTCCAGGTTGCAGCATTGGGAGCTTGAGGACAGGAGTTTGGGAATGGGTAGACTGGAGAACTCAGTCTTCTTGGCAGCATCTGCTGAAAAAATGGGCCTGATTTCCTAATCAAAGCTAATTCAGTTCAAAGTATTGTCTGGGAGACTCAAAAATGGCTGCAGGCTAGCAGTGCTGTAGCAAGGGTGGGGGTTGAGCAGGGCAACTGCCCCAGGCGCCAAAGTGAAGAGGTGCCAACAGGCACTGCCCAGCCAGGGCGGGGCATGGGATGGAGCCATGAGCAGCTTGTTTTGGCGGGGCGCAGGGATGAGGGAAGGGTGGCTCCCACTGTTGCGTGCAGTCCCAGGCAAGCATGGTGGGGGGGTGCCTGTCCCCCGGATCTGTGTGCAGGGTGAGGGCAGGCTGCTGCTGCAGGCTTTGCCTTGGGTGCCAAACTTCCTTGCCACGGTACTGCAGGCTAGCACACGTCTCCCATTTCCCCTTCTGGATATTTACCAGGCAGATTTTTTTGGTCTCAACATTAGACCCTATGTGCTTTTAAGCTTTTCTGGGTGTTGGGCAGAGTCTGGGTATTGCCACTGACTCAGGAAATCTAGGCACGCTCTCAGGCTGAAGATTCTTTTTGTTCAAAAGCCCAAGAGGTGCCCTGCACCCACCACCTGATTGTCTAGGTCCTGTGACTTATGCCAGTTTCCTCAAAGGCTCTAACAGAACCTCCCTCTGCACACCAGTGTGGATGTCCTAGTTTTCAAGTTACATCAGGGGTGTCCAACCTCCAGGCCACAGGCCAAATGTGGCCCACAAAGCCAGGACATCAGGCTTGTGAGGCTCCCCATGGGTCGAACTTTGGTGGCAAGGGAGTGCTGGCAAGTAATATTGCTACTTTTCCTTACTACCATACCCTGTGGGGTTGGGCCATGTCCCCTTCTCTCCACCCTTCTCCCCTGCCAGGCTGCATTGGGGCTGGACCACACCCCCTCTCCCCCCATGGCTGAATTGGGTCCCAGATACCCTCTCTTCCCCCGCTGCCTGGCTGTTTGGGACCAGGCCACACCTCTTTCCCCCTAGGCAGCTGGACTGGGGCCAAACCATGCCCCTTTCTCTTGCGGGGCCCAGTGGGGGCTGAGCTGCTCGGCACCCCCCACATAGCCAGATTGGGCCCTGCCTCCTCACCCCAAGAGCCAGATTGAGCTGTCCAGTGAGATCTGGTGCACAGACAAACTGAGCACCATCCATCCAGCCCAAGAGGAAAAAAGGTTGGGCACCACTGAGTTACACAATTAGAAAAATGTGATAGTTGAAGCAACCAGGCACTGGCTTTGTAAATGATTTCTAACACATTTAGTCTGTACTTTAGACAGTACAAGAAATATAGAACTCTATGCATAATAAGTCCTTTTTCTGCCTCAATTTCTTTATTGTACATGAGCATTCTTTAGGATTGACATCACTGTCCTTTCAGGTTCAAGGTCCTTTCTGTGGGGCCTCATTTATCTAGGTTGCGGTTTCCCCACTGAATCAAAGTCTCTGGCTAGCTCTGAAATCCACATTTAGCTTCCTCTGGTCTTGACTGGGCCCTTAATAAAAAAAGGTCCTTTCTGTTCCTCTCTTGTGTTCAAATTCCCTTTGTCTTTGTGAATTTGCAACTGTAAGTGGAAGCAGCAACACCTGATTTCTTTTTCCCCTTTTTGGAGAAATTCTGTCCCTTCAGACCTTTCCCTTCATCGGAGAAACTAGTGAAAGTGCATTTATAGGCAACCCCTGCTTAACACGGTTTCGCTTACCGTGGTTTCGCTATAGCGCTCCTTAAAAACACCTACCTGGTTTCAATTAGTGCTCAGCAGTTTCATTATAACACTCAGTATGGGCAGGGGGGCAGGGAAGAACCAGTGGTGGCAGCGGTGGCAGTGGTAGCGGCATTGAGTGAAGCGGCACAGGGTGGGGTGTCACGAGTCCAGGGTCTGCTCTGGCACACAGTGCTGGAGCAGACAGGGAGAAGCAGCGGCGAGAAGGGATGGACAGGGGGGCTGGTCAGTGTAAGCATGGAGCCTGGCCTGGTGGGGCCAAGGGCAGGGTGGCAGGAGCCTAGGGTTCGCTCTGGCACATGATGCTGGAGTGGCCAACAGGTTGGGGGGAGCAGTGGTGGCAGTGAGAAGGGGCGGCAGGGGGTATGAGCACAGGGCCCGAGGCTGGCACCCAGGGCCAGGGCCAGCAGGGTGGCAGGAGCATGCCTTCCCTGGCAGAGCCCACACAGTGCCTTTCTGGGAGTGGCAGGGCCAGGGCCGGCAGGAGTGCAGGAACCAATTATATTTATTTACATTAAACCCTATGGGAAAATGGGTTTCGCTTAACACTGTTTCGCTTAGCACTTGTTTTTTTCCAGAACCAATTAAGACCGCTAAGCGGGGATTGCCTGTATCTAAGATATGGTTTCTCTGTTGTTCTGTCTGGTAAAGATCTATTCACATGCCAGTAGTCTTTATCAGCCAACCTGTTCAAAATTGTGCCATGCAGGCACTGCTGCTTTGTTTTTTTAACACACAGTATGAGTCAAGAGTATGATGCAAATAAGCACAAGGGCTTAATGCATGCAGAGTTCCTAATCTCAAAAAACCCAATAAATTGTACACAGGCAAATTCCTTAAATCCTCACAAAGCTCACATAAGTGCCTTGCTGCCAAAGGAAGAGAGGGTCCATGGCAGAGTGCACTAATATAAGCAATCTATGTGGATGGATTCTAGCTCTGTGAATTCCTTTCCCTCAGATCCCCAGAATATGTAAGGTTGTGAGATCTTCCCTCCAAATACTTCCCCTGGGGTCCAGAGCTCTCCTCCTGCAAGGTATGTTTCCTGGGAAGTTCAAGTGGAATCTCAAAAAAATTTTTTCTTTCTTTTCCCCTTTTCATAAGGTTCTCCAGGGAATGGGGAAATTGAGCCTTGACTGAGAACTGTAGAGTTTAGTCCACTGTCGTTAACAATAAACATGATATTGAAACCCTATATTGTTAGTGCTCATCTCTAATTTAAGTTACCCTGCACTAATATTAAACCTTACATGTCCTGTACAAGCTAACATGTAATTTAGCTTACAGAGAACCATGAGGTATTACACAGCTTTCTGGCCAGAAAATACCGGCATTTTCTGCATTTACTGAGGAGGAGAAAGTATTGCCCAGAGGATAAATGAAGCCTGACAGCCTTTTCTGCCTTATTTTCTGCTGGTAAGTAAATGAATACTTTCAGACCCTGACTAATCTTCCAACCTTACTCTAGTGGCTACATGCAGTCCAGCACTGCTCACTATCTGTTAGTTGTCCCATCGTGTTTTGGACAGTACTGGTGTCTCCAGTTTTTTCTGTGGAAGCTCTTAGGTGTGGAACTTGCTACTTACTCTGAACACCTGGCTCAAAGTATACCTCTTCCCTCATTTAAAAAAAAAAGAGAGATCTGAAACTATTAGGCCAGGTTTGCTGTTTTACTCTGGCTGCTTTTTGTTGCCTTGGCAAAGTAAAATACCATAAGCTTGGCTTAATTTTATGCTGGGTTTGCAGCAGATTTGAACTGCCAAAATGGCATGAAGCAGCTACAGTGAATCAGTGAAGCTTGCTGTGTTGCTGAGACAATTTCATCTTAAATCTCCATTGACCTTTTTAATTTTTATTGCTTATTATTTGTATTGTGATTGGGTGTAGAAGCCCCAGTAAAGGTCCTGAACCCTTGCATGGAGTACTGAACCAGTTGCATGGACTACAGTAGAGACAGGAAAGATGATCCCCCTGTCCCAAGAACGTCTTGGTTTTCTTATTAGATAAAATACAACAGATGGATGAAGACAGATGAAGGAATATAAGGAGAACAGCATTGGTCAGCATGATAGACAGGACTCTCATCACACCTAACACCAAACCTCCTAACCTGTTGTAACAACACCACATAGCTATTGTAAAAAGTTTGTATAATAACCAAAGTGCCACGGCTGGGAGTAGTTTTTTATAAACAAAAGTATATGAGTTCCAGTGGACTGGAGTTGAATATACTACAAGTGGTGTTCTTAGCTGCAGACCATGCACTGATAATTGATATTTTGTTCATGCAAACATACTACAAATCTACTTAAAAAGGGCATGCTTAATGTTTGATGATAAGACAAAATGGACAAAAGGAAACAAACTTTAATTTCAGTACATTTATTACTTTGTATTTGTTAAGACAGATAGTTACACCAGTCCCCAGAGGCATTTTATGGGAATTTAAGATCATTGTTATAGCTTTCTGTAGAAGCAAGAAAGAACTGGTAGGAAGAATTAGTTGCTGTGCAGTAAAAAAAAGGACTCAAAGAGACTTTTCTCTCTTTAGAAACAGTTTGTGCAAACTCTGTTAACATTTAACAAATGCCCACACACTTGATAAAGATTTTTAAAAAGTCCAGTAACTATGTGCCTTAGTATTTGTGTGTCCAGTTAGCTACATATTAAATTAAATTGGTTTAAAGTGCCCAGCATTCACCTCTGACCCTCAGACCCCTTGATATTGCCTTATGCTGGGCAAAGAACAAGGATATCAAAATCACTGGTAGTCATGTCTGGAAGTTTTTTACATGTATGTGACATACAAACCATACCAGATAAAATTACAGTAAAAGAACAGAATATAGGCTGCAGGGTCAAACACTTGAAGGAGAAAACACCATATATCAATTGTCATTTCAATCATAATTCAACTCACTTGTGTTTATGCACTTTAATATGTTTCATACAACTCGCATGCTGGATAGTCCAGGCTAGTCGATGGATAATGAATGTCATTCATACCACTGGCCTCATAACTCTTCCTTCTGCTCCTTAGCCCAGCCCCACAAGTTGACCACACCTCAGATGTGCAAGTTAAGGAGGGTTTTGAGGTGATAGGGGCCGTTCTTCCTTCTGGAGTCTCCTGAGGGTCCCCCTTCCTCAAAACTGTCACTTTGGCATCATTGTTGTTCCTCGGCCAATGTTTTTTGGAGCTGCTTTTCACAACAGCAGGACTTATATACTTTTATCCCCTTTTGGCCCTTTTGATAAGTTAAAAGTTTGGGGTCTTTTAGCTGGCTTTGGTTAGGAGGAGAGATTGGTGATGGAGTCTCATGTTATTTCACGCAGTTCTTCTTATTAACACACAATGAACAAAAGTCCTGTTTCCCTGATCACAAGAGGAATAAAATGACACAAGACAGTTTATCTTCCCAACCTCTCACAGCCAGCACTTAACCCAAAAACTCTCTCTACTTTTTTCTCAGGCTCATGCTACCAGTGGTGCTGTGGCTATATCTGACTCTGTGTCTGCTCTATTTCTGTTTTTTAGCTTTTGCTTTTTCTTCTTCCTCTCCTACACACATGCTCCTATTCTACTAGTACCCTCAAAAAGTCCCTCAATCCACTCAGGATCACAGGAAAGTAGGGATGGAAAGGGCCTCATTCAGTTCAACCTGTTCCATGCAGGATCATCACTAGGTAACCAACCCAGTCAAGTGTCTGTCTAATTTGCTCTTGAAAATTTTCAGATATAGAAGTTTTGTAACCTTTCTAGGTAGTCTCTTCTAGTGCTTGACTATCCTTATAGTCAAAATGTTCTTCCTAATTTCAAACAAGGGATGCCGACCCAAGAAATATATATATACTTTTATTGACAACCATACTTTTAAAAATGTTTTTACTGAGATTAAGTTTTACATAATATAAATGTAACCCTTCTGCCAGGCCTTGGACAGCAGTAACAACATCTGGCTAGAATTTAGGGGGTTAACACCAACCATATTAAAAAGATTTCATTGTCAGTAAAAAAATTGAAGATTGTCAGTAAAAAAATAATTACTGGGTTGGCAACCCTACTTGATAACAACAATGGTTTTACACTGTGATGCCCCTACCCTAGGGGTTCCTTACTCACTTCCACATCCTGCTTCCCCAGCTTCATCCCTCCTGGCCCCACTGCCCCCCTCCTAGCACAGAACTCCACTCACTGCTTCTTCCCTATTTTACCCCTGCAACTCTATCCTGGCCACACCACCCATCCCTGTCCTGCTTGCGGCTGCACAGCCCTTCCTATGTGTGAGGTGAGCAGTGTTACAGGCAGGCCACAGCAGCAGCTCATGGCTGGGGGGCAGGGGGCTACAGAGGCTCCCATGACCTACAAAGCCCTGAGGGAAAGGTCTCTGCAAGGCACCAAGCTGTGTTCCTGCTCAGACATCATGTAGCACTGCCTTCAACATCTAGCTTTGTTCAGACAACAGGTCTTTAATCAAGCTCATGGTTTCTTAGTTTTTATGAACAGCTCCATTTTTACGGGCTTTATAGACAGGTGTTTTTAGCCTGTTTTTTATGGGCTGTCCATAAATTTACAGGCAGTTGGCGATCCAGTTGCCAATCTAAATCCCCTCTGCTGTAATTTGAAGCCATAGCTCCTTGTTCTACCCCTACAGCCACAGAGAAGAGTCCATCATGGGGATGGATGAAGGTCACTGGGCTAGTCTGTGATCAGATGGGGCTGTGCCATGTAGGGCCAGTGCAGCAGGTGTTACATGCTGTGCATACCCTGTGTAGGCCCACTGTCCCATGTACAACCCTGTGTGCCATGTGCAACATGCACCAGCCCTGCTCTGGGGCTGCACAGGGAGTGCAGCATGTGGTGCACAGGGCCTGTACAGGGAACATGCTGCATGGGGTGCCCCACTGGAATGACCCTGTTCTCTGGTTCTGAAGCTGGTCTGGATGGGGCCTCAGGCTGTTCATATGTGCCAGAGCCAGCACACAGGGTTGGTCTGGCAGGGCATCCTGTGCAGTGGATGCTGCTTGCACCACCTGCACAGTGAGGAGTAGAGTGGGACCAGCACATGCTGCATATGAGGCTGGGGTTAGCCCTAGAGCCAGTGTATATAGCCAGTCTGGCACAGGCACTGCATGCAGTGCATGTTTCAGACTGACTGTAACTGGGAATCCCAGCCTCTATTACTGGTGAGGACAGAAGACAGGCAGTTGAAAGTAGTAATGTATGTGGGATGAGCCTGGCACTGATGAAGGCAGTGGATTACCAAGTAACTGGCTGCATCTGGTAGCAGGGTGCAGTAAGTCTAGTCCAGAAGTGGTTGCGGCTGCTTCTGGGAGTGCTGCTTCCTGTCTGGCACTCGCAGGGGAGCACTGGTGCTCCTGCCTGCCTCCACTGCCCGTTGCCTAAGCGGCAAGCACGGCCAAAAAGGTATGAGACAGCCATTGAGGACAGGCCTAAAGCCCAGACCCTGAGGTCTTTACCAGAGGGTCAAGGTGGGCAGGGCCAGAGAGAAAAAGGGGTCTAGACTGAAGTCCCAACAATCTCTTTTCAAGGACAGCCACGTGAAAGGAGGAACCCTGCATGGGTGCTCAACATGAATGGCACATGCCCCCGGTGGGAGCGCGGTGGCTGTGGCAGAAGCATGGCAGCAGTAAGTGGGGGAGCTCCTATAGATGCTGCCGGTGATGTCAGCATTGGGGTGGTGAGCGGTCACCGCCCACAGGTGCCTCTGACAGTATTGGCACCGCCTTTATGTAGGGGGTGCACCACCACACTCAGGGGGTGCACATGCACCCACATGCACCCCCTACAGATCACCCCTGGTGCTCAGGGGTAAAAGGACTTGAGTAGAGTGATGGGTCCAGTGGTGCCAACCAGCCTGGCTGTGGACCTGCTACCAATCCTAGGACTTCCTTCCACTTCCCAATATCCAGTAACATTAAAGTTGCAGTGGGCTAGTAATGGAGGCACAGGGAGGCCAAGAGAAGGTAGTAGCAGAGCAGCATGTGTCCTACATAGTTTACACTGACTTTCTTTGCTGCGTCTAGCACCCATGGTGCCAAGTTGAGACCATACACCAAACCAGCTCCACACACTGCATGCAGTGCATGGGGTTAGTCCAAAGCCCATGGGCCAGATCATGATCCATCCACCAGATTGTGTCCATATGTTTGACATCTCTGGTTTATCTACATCCTCTTTGTAATATTTGTTCAGGTATTTGAAGACTTATCAAATCCACGCTCTGTCTTCTCTTCTGCACCCTAAATAGTCCTATTCTTTTATCCTTCCTTATAAGCCACATCTCCTGGACCTCTAATCATTTTAATTATTTTTGTCTTTCAATGCTGGACTCTTTCCAATCTATCCACATTTTTCTTAAAGTATGGGGCCCAAAACTGGACACAGTACTCCAGGTGACACCTCACAGCTGCCTAATAGAGCTGAAGAATCACTTTCCTTGATTTGCAAGATCAACACAGGATGCTGTTGGCTTTTTTGCAACAAGAACACACTGTTGGCTCATATTTAGCTTATCATCTACTGCAGGGGTTGTCAACCAGGGCTACACATACCCCCAGGGGTACTTGGGAAGGCCTTAGGGGGTACACACAGGCGGCCAGGAATGGAGTGCTGCCACCCACCACCCTACACTACCGCCTTCCAGGAGCAGAGCCAGGGGAGGGGGGCTAGGGCAGTGCTGCCCCTCTGCGGGCCGCACCGGTGCCGCCCGTCCAGCCAGACACGGGGGAAAGTGGGGAAAGCTTCCACACAATGGTTGTCACCACAACCCACCACCCCATGCTGCCGCCACTCTGCATCCAGCCGCGCACCACCCACGCCCTGCTCCCCCTGCTCCACGTCCAGCCATGCACCACCCCCACCCCGCTCCATCTCTGGCCACCAGGGATACACTTATTAAAATGATTGAAAGCCCCATATCTACTGTAAACCCCAGGTTTTTGTCTGTAGTAACATTGATTTTTGTAACATTTTTCTAGCCCTGTCCTCCAGAGTGTATGCAACACCACCCACATTCTTACTTGCACCTTTTTTTTGGGTGTTGACATGCACCCCTTTTGGGGTAAAGGCTGGTATTATGTCATAAAGAAGCTTAACTCACTCTGACACGTATCTTAAATGAAGGGCAGTAGTTAAATCCATGCATTTCAAAATGGCTTTTCACATAAGCAGACAAACAGACCAGGAGGAAGTGGTGGATGAGGCTTTCTTCAAGCAGCTAGTTTCCTGATTACAGGCCCTGGTTCTCATAGGGGACTTCAATCACACTGAAATCTGCTGGGAGGGCAACATAGCAGTGCACAGACAATCCAGAAAGTTTTTTGGAGAGTATTGGTGCAAGTGCTGGAGCTGCCAACTAGGGGCCATTTTCTTCTTCACCTGCTGCTCACAAACAAGGAAGAATTGGTGGGGAATGTAGTAGTGGATGGCAACTTGGGCAGCAGTGACCACAAGATGACTGAGTTCAGGATCCTGAGGAAAGGAGGGACGGAGAGCAGCAGAGTAAGAACCCTGAACTTCAGAAAAGCAGACTTCGACTTGCTCAGGGAACTTATGGGCAGAATCCCCTGGGAAGTGAGACTGAGGGGGAAAGGAGTCCAAGAGACCTGGTTGTACTTTAAAGATGGCTTACTGAAAGTGCAGGAACAAACCATCCTGACACTCAGGAAGTCTAGTAAGTATGGCAGAAGACCAGCTTGGCTTAGCAGGGAACTCTTCAGTAGACTAAATCACAAAAAGGAAGCTTATAAGAAGTGGAAACTTGGACAAATAACTTGGGAAGAATATAAGAGCACTGCTTGGGTATGGAGGGATGAAGTCAAGAAGGCCAAAGTACAGTTGGAGTTGCTGCTAGCAAGGTATGTGAAGGGTAATAAGAAGGGTTTCTACAAATATATCTGTAGCAAGAGGAGGATTAGGGAGAGTGTGAGTCCCTTACTGCATGGGAGAGGCAACCTTGTGACAGAGGATGCAGAAAAGGCTGAAGTGCTCAATGCCTATTTTGTCTCAGTATTCACAGGCAAGGTCAGCTTCCAAACTACTGCACTGGGCAGCACAGTTTGGGGAGGAGGTGAGCAGTCTGCAATGGAGAAAGAACTAATTAGGGACTATTTAGAAAAGCTGGACGTGTACAAGTCCATGGGGCTGGATGGGATGCACGCAAGGGTGTTGGCTGACGTGATTGCAGAGCCATTGGCCATCATCTTTGAAAACTCATGGTGATCAGATGTCCCAGATGATTGGAAAAGGGCAAACATAGTGCCCATATTTAAGAAAGGGGAAAAGGAGGGTCCAAGGAAGTACAGACCCGTCAGCCTCACATCAGTCCCTGGAAAAATCATGGAGCACATGGAGGAGAAAAAGGTGATTAGGAACAGTCAGTATGGATTCACCAGGGGCAAGTCATCCTGACCAACCTGCTTTCTATGATGAGATGACTAGCTCTGTGGGTGTGGGAAGACCAGTGGATGTGGTATACCTTGATTTTAGCAAGGCTTTTGATACGGTCTCCCACAATATTCTCATGGGCAAGCTAAGGATGTATGGGCTGGATGAATGGACTGGACTGTAAAGTGGATAGAAAACTGGCTGGAGCATCAGGCTTAGAGACCAGTAATCAATGGCTCAATGTCTAGTTGGCAGCTGGTATCAAGTGGAGTGCCCCAGGGGTTGGTCCTGGGGCCAGTTTTGTTTAATATCTTCATCAATGAGCTGGAAGGTGACATAGAGTGCACTTCAGCAAGTTTTCAGATGACACCAAGCTGTGGGGAGTAGTAGATACACTGGAGGGTAGGGCTAGGATTCAGAGTGACCTAGATAAACTGGAGGATTGGGCCAAAAGGAATCTCATGAGGTTGAACAAGGACAAGTGCAAAGTCCTGCACTTAGGACAGAACAATCCCATGTACCAGTACAGGCTGGGGGGTGGCTGGCTGGGCAGCAGTTCTGCAGAGAAGGACCTGGGGGTTGTAGTGCACAATAAGCTGAATATGAGCCAGCAGTGAGCCTTTGTTGCCAAGACAGCTAACTGCATCCTGGGCTGAATTGGTAGGTGTGTTGCCAGTAGGTCAAGGGAGATCATTATTCCCCTCTATTCAGCACTGGTGAGGCCACATCTGGAGTAGTGTGTCTAGTTTTGGCCCCCCCCACTACAGAAAAGATGTGTACAATTTGAAGAGAGTCAAGTGGAAGGCAACAAAAATGGTTCGTGGGCTAGGAGACATGACTTATGAGGAAAGACTGAGGGAACTGGGCTCATTTAGTCTAGAGAAGAGGAGACTAAAAGGGGACTTAATAGCAACTTTCAACTACCTGAGTGGAGGGGGGGTTTGAAAGAGGATGGAGCTAGACTGTTCTCAGTGGTGGCAGATGACAGAACAAGGAGCAATGGTCTCGAGTTGCAGCAAGGGAAGTTTAGGTTAGATATTAGGAAGAATTTTATCACTAGGAGGGTAGTGAAACACTGGAACAGGTTACACGGAGAGATTTTCTGGAGATTGGAGATTGAAAGACCACCCTTAGAGATTTTTCAAGACCCAGCTAGACAAAGCTTTGGCTGGGGTGATCTAGTTGGGGATGGTCCTGCTTTGAGCAGGGGGTTGGACTAGATGACCTCCTGTGGTCTCTTCCAACCCTTTCTATGATTCTGTGATAACCCACAGTAAAACCCATATCACTGCTGTTTCTGTCTGTGCAGATAACCACTATCAGTTTTGAAATCATACAGAAAATGTTTAATCATAGGCTTTGTAAGAAACCTTAATGTGTCTGGCTTTTGAAGTGATTCATAACAAGATGACACATGCTTAAGAAAAACAAAACTTCTCCACAAACGTAAAAGATTATTGTATGAGAACCTTAGCTTACATTTCAAAGGAAAATGAAGTCTCTGCCCCTTATGAGTAGAGAGCAGAGCTTGAAATTGTTACCCCAGAGACTCAAACTCTAGACCTAAAATAACCCCAGCATGCATTTAAAAATAAAAAATAAAAACCAAGCTCATGATTTTGAGGCTAGAAACTTATTATTGTTTAACATGTGGAGTTACCATTGCTACAGAGGTGTAATAGCAGAGTAGGTACAACATCCTGCTTTAGCTCCAGAGACATGAGTTCAGGCCTTGCTTTCTGGACTTGTGCTAAACCCTGCCCCTAGTTGATTCCTCTCTAATCAATTACCTGATTATTCACACAGGAAATTCAAGGCAGCTGGATGCAATGCTGGCCATCTCTCTCTTTTGTGTACTGCTGGCTGTGGATGCTGGCACACCTTAACCATGTTAGCCTGCTGGGCTATTCAACACAGGCAGACCTTTGGCTTGAATGCTGATAAGCCTCGTGATTCAGGACGAGTGCATGCGTGACTGCTACAGCACAGGAATAAGTAGGGAGAGGTGGTGGGTGACATATCCTTTCCAGTCCTAACCATCTCATGCAGTGGCTGTGAACAGCTTCAGCTTTTCTGGGCACAGGAAATGCTCTCTCCCGGTGAGAATACGTCACGGCACTGGAATGACAAGCAAACCACTGTATGCACTTAATCGACAAAGCTGTTGTGAGGTATAATAAATGATGCATGCATACACGCATGTACTGTGAACCAAATGTCATGTTGAAGTGAGTTACTGGTAGCAGTGGGAAGAGAACTGAGGAGTACCTGGCACTCAGCTCTGCACTCAGTGTGTGCACATGTGCATGCACACACACTCAAATACACACACACACATACCTGGTTTCACAGATAACCTGGTAGATCTTCCCCTTCTACTTCAAGGGGCTATTATTAATGACTTACACCTCAGCACTAGGTTTAGTGAGTCTCACCTGGCCTGTTGCCAGCAAAACTACCCAAATTAAATTAATTAAATGGGCCTTGGGAAAGGAGGTAAATATATTTCAGAGAATGTTGAGGTAGCCCCATGACATCTGTTAATGATAGCTCAAGTCACATAGCTAATATCTTGGGCATTATGACATTTACTTCTCAGGTTCCTTTTCCTATGGAGTTGCAGTATGCATAAAAAGGAAAGTTCATTGTACCATCAATGATTTCAAAATGTGGATATGTGGAGGGAGAATTACCTTTAAAATAGGAGCTGTGAAGGAGATGCCTTCCAGTAAATTAATTCTTATCATGGGTATAATTGAGAACTTCATGCGCCTTTACCCCACTGACTTAAATGCTAATTCAACCAAGGAACATAGTTTAATGGCAGTGAGTGATAATGGATTAAAACAGCTGCTATATGGCACAAGATGGTTTATATATACTAGGGGAGAATACTGTAGTTAAAACTAATGTTCTGCTAGAAAGTCAGGTTATCCTCATGACTGGACAGAACAAGGTGACCTGGGCAAGTTACTGCAGTTAGCAAAGAATTCATACAACACAGTCTTGTATCCTTAGAAATTCCAACACAAAATAAATTCTTCCTATGCTGCTAATTCAAATGCCTTTATTTCTAAATTGCCAGTTGCAAGAGCAAAATGGAGCAGTGTTTCTGTGGGCAGTGAATTTTTTTCTTCCTCTCCATTGCAAATACAACAACAAGCTGAAGTTTTTGCTGAGCTAGCTGTTTCTTTATGTTTTCATTGGCAGGATAGTATTGCAGATTGTAAGAACCACAATGAGCAAATCATGCTTTAAATTCTGTAATATAAGTGCTAAATACTTCTGTGCTAAAATATGCTATGGTGTGTCTTTGCCATAGCCCAAATGAGTAAACACAGTTCTTGGCTGTTCGTCTAACCCCCTGTAGGAATGCTGTTGAACACAAGCAATGCAAGGAACTCTTTGGGGTCCTGCACTGACTTGGCAAGGCACAGGGTGGTCCAGCCCTGGATCTCTCCACCCCTTCTAACAACAAGACCAGGGTGGGAAGCAGCTCCCTCTCCCAGTTAGCAGCAATAGAGGCTGCATGTTTGCTTGGAGCAAGGTAAATCATAAGGCTAATACAGCACATGCATCTGTGGCCAGAGGGCTTATACCAATTACACAGGAATTTTTAAAGGATACGGTACTAACATCCTAAAATTCAGCTATGTTATATGCTGTATATTCCTTCACACCATGCTTATATTGTTTTGCTTGGATGACTTGTATAGGCTGCCATACTCATTTCATAGCCTGCATCAGAGCCAGTTCAGATATTGATTGCAAAATCTTTCAGAAAGTTTCTTCTTTAAATCCTAGCTATGATACCATCTCTTGTAAGCTCTTGCTTACTGATACTAATGTCATGATGGTCTAAATTTCCAAACAAAACTAATGTTTTGGGAATCCTCAGTTTTGGCATTCCCAATTAGAGAAATAGGTTTCCCTCACTTTATGCGGGTTCCATATGTGCAAATTTGCTCTTATGAGATGACCCTTTTTATACCAAAAATTCAGTATAGGTGAGGTAAATTGACTCTTATGTGATAGGTGTGGTAAAAGCCTGCAGTCAGTTGCTTTGTGCGGTGCATTATGGGAGTGAAGCGCACCAAAATATAGTCTCCTGTGTGGATCTGTGCTCCTTGCTTGTTGTCTGCGACACGTGTTTCTGTAGTTGTCATTCCCGTTACGATAGTGCCCTGTGCTTGTGTGTAGTCCGCTGTTGGTGAGTACCAAAATTGTCTTGTAAAAATGGTAGAAATGGGTCTGGGGGTCAGTACAGTTGAGGTCTTGGAATGTATGCCTATTTGATACATTGTAAAGTGGGTTCCCTTTATTCAAATTCGAGTTATGCACCGTTTTCCAGGAATGCATGTACAGCATAAAGCGAGGGAAACCTGTATCTTAAAGGGGCCTACGTTTCAGAAAGTTCTGAGCAACTTTCCTCTGAAAACTTGGCTTCCTTCAAAATGCCACAGACTGGGCACCCAAAGATAAATTTTGAAAATGTAGGGTGTTTATAAGGCCTGTGAAAAGCGGCTAGTATTCACTTCGGATTCGTATTTGGCTGATTCAGGGGACAGTGATTAGAATCAGTGATTTGAATTACTGTCCCAAATTGATTCAGCCAAGTCACCCAGGCCCCATCCCCCACCCACTCTCCCAGCCCGGCAATGGCTGCCCCACCGGCCCCAGCTCCTGGCACTTTGGGGAAAAAAAGCCCCAACTCACTGGGTGCTGCTGGGTGGGGGTGTGATCTCCACTGCCCCCCCCACTGCCCCATGTTGCATGAGGGGCTCTGCACGAGCCCCCCCAATCCCGGCTTCTCCCTCAGGCCCCCCCCAATGGCTGCCCTACCCAACCCAACTCTGGCCCTTTAAGGGAAAAAAAAAACATGTAGAAACCCCC